AAAATATGCCTGACCACGGTGGGAATCGAACCTACGACCTTTGGAATACTAGCCCAATGCTCTGCCAACTGAGCTACGCGGTCAGGTCGGTTCGAGTAAGTGATATTTCGGAACAGAATCTAGTTCCTTCGATAAAAAAAAAATTGAGCACTGATAAAACTGACATAAACATGTCAGATTATTTATGTGAAAATTTCACATGAGAAAATTATCGCTTTTCAATTACTGCTTTTCTGTAAAAATTATCTCTTCAAAGACTGTTCTTTATATAATAAACAGAAAAATACATGGGTGCTTGGAAATACCAGATTTATTTCTCGTGTTGAATATGATATCTCACGCTCACTCGTGAGATATCATGTTCAACACTTGAAATATCAATGTTTCGTTGATTGCTTGCCTCAATTAACTCTAGTTAAGTTCAACACTTGAAATATCAATGTACATGTTTCGTTGATTGCTTGCCTCAATTAACTCTAGTTAAGGCTGCTCTGTATAGATTTTACTATAATATATATATAAGGCCTTTTTACAACGACCATTTTTGCTTGCGATTTTTTGCCATGTATATCGCTAGTTGTTTGTCAGTGAGTTTACTCACAATTAAAAGCTTGGTCAGGAGTTTCAAGACTGATTGACAGTGATTCTGAGTTAAAATATACTAATATGCTAAGTCTATGCTAATTTACATGTCTAATTCATATATCCAATTCAAAATGGATTTTTGACTCAACCATGAAATATTTAAGGAAATAAATGTCATATAGCTAAGTATACATTCAAATGAAACCGTCGGAAAGGCCGCTGTATATATAGCTATATATATATATATATATATATTAACCTATATATGGTCTAAGCTAAAAAATGTATAACTCCACCCCTTGAAATAATATTTAAAGATATGATTTACATACTTGAGGAATTCATGAAGGTTCTTTGGCTTCAAATACAACACAAGAGACACTGACAGTGCTCAATTATAGATTGTCCATGTTCCTTTATTTCTAAACTGTTGAGGAAACTAAGCTATAAACTGGTACTAAACTCAACCTTGGTAGGTTATATACAAGCATATGTTTGCCTATTATAAGAGTGTTTGTCCGTTTTATTTATACCAAAAGTTAGCCGGAAACTAGGCAATATTTCTGATGATAGAGTTTGAAAAAGGTACTTACGGGAATTCCTGCCCAGTATTGACTGTAGGTAAAACCAGATTGAACGGCTGCCTCGATACTGACAATCCCAGTAATTTCGGTACTGGTTTCAAAATTGTCGGCATAGTTTATCACGAAAGCACACGCAATCATGACAATTCCGAAGAAGACGATACCACATCCTAGCAGAACTAACGAGAAGAGAGCCGTTTCCGATCGACGACGTCTTTGTGAATGTCGCGGTTTGCCGGCGTAGTAAGGATCCATGACTTCACAGATTTATAGTTTCGAACGAAGACGAAATATGGGTGTAGTGCTGCTCAAAGCTTTCGTTATATACGAGCGCCTTTGGGCATCTGATGGGAATGGAATGATCTATGCTTCATGTTATTGGGTTGACCACTGATTCGAAGCAGACACCCGCCGTGTGATTTGAAAGCCGCTTCAAAATTGATAGCTATGTGTAGGCAGAAAATATGCCTGCCCCCACATAATGCATCGACAATTGCTAGATAGTATACTTCAAAATAAGGTTTCCTTTTTTATATCAATTTTTAAAATAAGTTAGGGTTAGGTTGGGGTTAGGGTTAGTATTAGGGTTAGGATTTAGTTCCGCGTTAGGATAGTTTTTTTCTACGTTATAAAAACGGAAACTCCTTATTTTGAAGTATATACTATCTAGCTATCACCAAAATACATCGTCGGTACCGACTGACGTGTCCTTATGGAATGTAAAAATGCGAATCATTATCTCAAAATAGACACGAAATGGTATAATATTAATATAGTAAGAGTGCTACCACGATTTTCAACTTGTCTTAACAGTACATCTACTTTTGCTACAGAATCAGCTAACATTCAGTTAGATTGGTTAGCTCTATCAGTTCTAAACTATTCTCTATGGAATGTTAAAATGCGAACTCTTAGCTTCAAATAGACAAGGAAGGGTTGCTATCATGATTTTATCATTTCAACTTGTCTTAACACACAACAATTGCCTAAAACTGTCGCATGCCACTGCTTACAAGTTGAGTTGTACTGTGTAAATCAAGCACGCAACTCACTTACTATACGACAACGTAGATGAGTTGTGTGTTTGATTTACACTACAGTATACAATTCAAGTTGTAACCCAGCGGGCAAAATGACGTTTATCCAACGTTGAATCAGTCAACGTTGGAAATGACCTTCCAGACGTTGGATAGACGTTGAAAAAGGGTTGACTATGCAAATTGGATCGACGTTACTGTTTCGACGTTGAAACAACGCTGAAATTAGGTTGCCAATCTCGTCAACCATAATTCAACGTTGAATCCACGTTAAAACAACGTTGAGATTGGTTCACAAATCGACGTCGTACATTTAACCATGAATGAACGTTAATTCAACGTCTGTTGGCTGCTGTTGAACCAATATTTGTAAAACAACGTCAGAGCAACGTAGATATTAGGTTGTCGACGTCGCAACCTTTTTGGCTCTACCACATTTCAACGTTGAAACAACGTCGTGTGCCCGGTGGGAAGCAGGTTGCGTGCGACAGTTCTAGGCAAAATTTGTGTGGTGTAAGTCAGCCCTATGTCTACTCATACCACAGTGTTTGCTGTAAAACTAACATTATTTACACTA